GAAAAGTTCGTTAACAGAGGTGTTCGTAACCCGAGGTTCCACTGTACAAGGAAATGTAATTTGGTAATATAATATGTTTCAGGGAGGTAGTCTTGGGACACTGGATCTAGGAATGTGGTTTTCTTGTTTTCTTTCTAATATTTTGTTCTGCCACTAGGAATCCTGTATAAAATTGGTAGTGAAGTAGCCAACCCTTCAGTGGCTCTTTCAGCCCTTTCAATATAATTTCCCCCATACAAACAGATAAACACTTTCATATTGTCTGAATATTAAGCCATAGGTTGTTTATTCACGGCTGGTTGAGTGATCCACAGTTGGCTGCATTCACACATCATGCCAAGCTATAAAACATGATTTATAAACCATAATGGCCAGTCATAAAAAAACTAAGCCAAAAACAATCCATCATGACCTACTATGTAAACTAAATCCTAAACCAATCTTACATGTGATCCAGAGATCAGTGGATAATCATTCTAACTACAAACACACGAACAAATTCAACTAGTGTTTTCTGTTCTTGCATGAAATCTAAAAAGACCTCTCATCAGATTGGCCTCTGCTCTAGTCTTGAATTAATATGCACCTGTTTTTACAATCCCATTAATTTGGTGTCAGGATCTTAGAGCATTTACTAGAGGAGAGTAAAAAAAACATAATAAACTGAAGGGATACAACAATATATCTGCTCATAATAAGTATTTAGAGATGTCACCCTTGGCTTAAAGGAAATCGTTTAGAGAGCAATTATGTTTCAAAAGAGAATCATTCTTGTAAAGAATTTAAATTTAAATCAAGATTTTTTTAAGCTTGCCAGAGCTATAATTACAACGCCTGCAGTGATTTCTGCTCTATAGAGAAGGGTCATTTCATCACAAAATTGCCTTGGAAAATCTGAATAATGTGAGCCTGAAATTTGCTTCAGCTTTTTCATAGGATGGAGATATCCCCATGCCCTATGAAAAAGCTGAATTTTCTCGGGCAATTTAAGAAGGGATAAAGGCGCTATTCTCAACTTAAAATTATCTCTCCTTTGTGCCCTTGAGAAGCAAACTCCAACACCTTTCCTGCAGTCTCTCAGCCGCCTTTCATTGCCTGCACAGCCAGCATTCTCACTAGGTTTTTTTTCTTTTTTTCTTTTTTTACATTTTGGCTGATTATATCTTAAGTGGCAGGCCTTGTATGTTTCTTTGGAGACAACGTCCAACCAGCGTTTGTGTCCCCTCAAATTCAGTTAAGCATTTGTGGTCTGAGATATTTGTTTAGACTTTGCAAAAGGGATTCACAGCTGAATGCAGGAGCGGTTGCACATTTGTCAAAATCCAAAGCCACCCGTAGACTGATCTATATTTTTATCATGTTAACCTAACCTGGGTACATTCATAGGTTCATTCTAATGGGGGATAGAAAATATTTATTTATAGCATCGTTCTCAGTAATGTAGTGCACAAGCAAACATTTTAATGATTGGCCAGTACCAACACCTCGTTCTCTTTCTTTAGTCCTTAGAATACATCCTACTCCTTAATAGGGGTCTGCAGTGTTACAGAATTCAGAAGCAGAAAAAGGGAAATATAGCGTCTGTCTGCAAAATCTTAAACCAGATGCATCTTCTTCTGGGATCCCTTGACAGCTCCACAGTTCTAGGAAAAGGCACCGTTGCTTCCAGGGGTTGCAGGCAGATGCTGCTTTTCATCATAAAATTGCCTTGCAAAATTTGAATAATAAATAATAAGTAAATAAGTAAGTAAGTAATAAAAGGGCTTTCAAATCCAAAGCACTGAATATTCCGTAATCCCTTAGGCAGCTGCAGGCAGGTTACGCTCATTTCAATTACTGACCACCTTGGAGTTTTAAAGCAATCTCTTTAACCAAATGCTTTGCTTTGTTTTTCTTTGTTACATATGGTGCAAAAGGCAGATGGGAAACTCCACTATTTTTTAATAAACTCTTGCATGTTCTGCATTCATATTTTATAATATATTAGTCATCAGGGTCCCTAAAAGATTTTCATCAAAACTGGGTCAGATGGTAGCTTGTGGAGATTTCTTTGTATATCATAACTTTCTCTCTCTCCCTCTCCCTCTCCCTCTATCCCTCTCTCCCTCTCCCTCTCCCCCTCTCCCTCTCCCTCTCCCTCTCTCTCTCCTCCCCCCCTCTCTTTCCCCAACAGGAGTAACCAAGGGTTTATGCACATGAAGTTGGCAAAAACCAAAGAGAAGTATATTTTGGGTCAGAACAGTCCTCCGTTTGACAGTGTGCCAGAGGTTATTCACTACTACACCACAAAAAAACTTCCTATCAAGGGAGCCGAACATTTGTCACTCCTGTACCCTGTTGCTGTCCGGACCTTATAATTGTTCTGCCCGCGCTCCTTCCTGTGGATTGGAGATGAAGGATGCAGCAGCGGAAGGATCCCTCCATCGGCTTCTGCAGCATTTCTTGGAAGCAGATAACCCCTTCGGCCTTTCCGGAAACAGACTGTTGTACAGTAGTATGAGTGGAATTGTTGCACTACTTTGCATGTCCCGTGTGGAAATGTTGGCTTCTATTTATACGAGAGAAAATGGACTCAGGCGTAAAAGAAACGCATCCTTTTCCAGGAATCCCAACCCATACTCCCAGGAATGGAAATCTTGCCAAACCCAAAGAAAGCCCTTCGAAACTTTCTGCCTGTGACCAACAACTTGCTCCCCTCCCAGCTGTGTTTGGGGAGAGAATAACGGACATTCAGACCAAACCTGCAAACGGACACGCACTCTTCTGGGAGTGGAGTGGGGGCGAAGAGAAAACCAGCTTTGCTACACCCTCCAGGCTTGGGAACTAGGTATTACACACTCAACCCCAAATTTGCGTCGTTGTTTTCATGCGCAAATTAACCCAACACGAAGACCCCCCCCTCTTTTTTTGTCATAATGAGGATGTCATTTTAAAGATCTCAATGAGTAATTTTGCAATGGCAGAAAGTGTTTGGTTATTTATGAATAGGGTATGTACTTAAATAGTGGTTTAATATATATACATATATATATATATTTTTATTCCCCTCTCCTTTTTTGGGGAGGGGGGTACAACAATAAAGCTCTAAGGTTTTTTGTGCCGATTCCTAGATTAAAGGCGGTGACTCAGTTCTGTTTTTTGTTGTGTATGTACAATGTAAGTGGTGATGGTTCAGTGATTTCCCATGGAAGGTCAGGGTGATGAGGGTTGATGTTTACATGACCATATTTCAGACCTAGTGACCCTTCCACAGGACAGGCTTCCTCCTGTTGATAATGGCTTCTGTGTGAAGAGTGGCCCCACCTCAGGGATATGGGGAAAACCCATGAGTACCTTTTTCTTCTCTTCTCTTTTTTCTTTTCTTTTCTTTTCTTTTCTTTTCTTTTCTTCTCTTTTCTTTTTTGTTTGTTTCTCAAGATTCATAATGAGACAAGTAGCAAAATTTAAATCAGGCCTACTTTCTCCCCCCCCCCCCCCCCCACACACACAAATATTTTGTCATGCACAGAAATAGGAGTAGTTACTGTACTCCACACATCCTGTCACTTTCTTCATAACCATTGGAATAATTGCATCAAAAGCTCCTATCCTTCACACTGTCACTACACTTGGCTTCTACCTCATTTATAAAGTATAGGCCCGTCTCTCATCTTCTGCCAGGTCTGGCATGTATTCTTTTTGCCTCATAAAACCTATTTAATTGGCAGCCTCTTGATGTGTTTCTCCTTCTTCCACACCAATGGCAGATACAACTTACCAGGGCATGATTTTTTCTCTTTGCAGCATCCAGTGAACTGGATTTAAGGTAGGGAGAAGCACATCATACAGGTGTCAGGTCTGCCTCAAGCAGCCCCAGTTTACTAAATTTGTTAAAATACTGAGCCCAATCGTCTGCATCACTCTTGTTTATAGCACGACACATTTCTACATTGGTGATCTAAGTCAAGATTCAAACTTGCGGTTTTCACTGTGTCTTTGTTGCAATAAGACTGTAAAATTAACATTTTAACTAGACTGCCTTTGAAAAATACCACTCCCTTTCATTCATATGCTGGTTTAGAAGTATAATGGAATAATTGTTACTCCAGTGACTGTGTAAAATACTGCTTTGTTGTACTATACAATGTGAAAAAAGTCCTCAGATGATCTGGTTTATAAATAGTATCTTTATTGCCTGGTTCATTTTAGTCCCATATAGACCATTTTTCAGTATGGTATTAATGACAGATTTACCTGTTGGAGGACAATGAAATAAATCTCTGTAAAATGCGTGTTGAATTGGCTGCCACTATTGTAACAAGAATGTTCAGAATAATTTTGCATGCCAAGTGTCCCTGTTGCTGTTGGTTTTTTAACAGATACTGTGGGATTTTCTCCCTAAATGAAGTAAAAAAAAAAAAAAACATTTTTAAATGAAACAAAACAAAACCAAAACAGTTGAATTCCTTCTTTATTTTCTTCACAGCTTTTCCCCCATAGAATGCATCCTTGCTCCAGATAACTTCTAGAATCCCCAAGGTTAGCTACAATTTAATATCTCTTTAAAACATGTAAACAATTACAGCACAATTGGTTCACTTAAGGTACATTCAGCCACTGTTGGAAGTATTTTCATAGCCACGTTGTCAATCTGTTGTAGAGCACAGGCTAAATTTTGTAAAGCCCCTGAATTCTGTGAAGAAGTTGGTGTCCATATACCACTCTCTGCCAGAGTACTTAATTGTTGTGGGGGCTGTTTGTTCCTGGGCTGCTGAAATATCAGCAGGAGTAAGACAAGTTTTTACCCTGCCAATAAGATGAGAACACTCTGGTGTCCCTTTTCCAGCCACAACAGAATAAATCAGTTTATTGAAGGCATTTGTATGCCACAAGATGTAATACCAATCTCCAACATGACTTCAGATAAACATTCTTCCCACTAGAAGAACTTAGAAAGCATCAACTACTATTCAGGAATACCATTAGCAGTTCTTAGGTTTGGAATCCACTGTGCACTAACTAAGCACTTGATACCAGGAGTAAAAGAACTTTTGATTTTCAGACATTGAGTTATAGGGGATTTACTTCAGCTTTCTCATTTACCGTGTCTCATTTAAGTCTTTTCTTTATGTAAAATTCATTTGCCACATCTGAACTTACCTCCTGCGGGAATCTATTTTAGCCTAGCCACTTACTGTGGAGAACAACATTTCCAGTTCCTCATGACTGTGTAATGATATAGCTGTGTAAGTATACTGTGCCACCTGAATCACAAAAAAAATTGAATTGGCCCAAAGGCAAGAGGAATCCATGGGTGATAACACTTGCTCCAAAACTACGACTTCTTCCATCATATGCAGATTATCTCATTCTTAAATCTTTTCTTTCGATTTTTGTGATACACTGTCATCTTTGACAGTCATTTTTTTTTTTTTATTCTGAGAAAATATGGACACCTGGAACTGCTAGAAAAAGCAGGTTCACCACATGTTTCTTGGAAGTCAATACTGGCCACTTGCAGGAGGTTATCCAAACTGAGTTGTCTTCTCCCTCTCAAGAGAGATTCCCCCTTTCTGAATGTGGAACCTTCATCTAGACTTGTCTCATCCCTATTTTGAATCACTTCCCAATACTCTAGGCCACTGTTGTCCAAACCTGGCCACTTTAAGATGAGTGGACTTCAACTCCCTGGGAGTTGAAGTCCACTCATCTTAAAGTGGCCAAGTTTGGACAACACTGCTCTAGGCTCTAGATATGAATCTTTATACTCTGCACCAAAACAATTAAATTCTGCACCCAATCAAGTTGGCTAAAAAAAAGATGGAGCATATAGATTATGCATGTAGGTTTCGGTCCTCATTTTGAAGAAAAGTCTGGCTTTACTAACTTTGGAAGAGTCACGAGCACAGGAGACCCACCCATAAACATTGAGTCACATCTCTAGTTCAGACATCAGGTCATTGTCACTACTTCTGTAAGCATATATATGCAACATATAAAGCAGGTAGATGTTCTGTCCACTAGTATGTTTGTGTTTCATCGGGCTGGGGCCACAAACACTCAGTCCTCACTTCTTTTTCCCTCCTGCAGAGCAGCAACACACCCTCCTGTCCTCATTATCACATGTAACTGCATACAGAGGCAGTACCTAGCTGTCCTTGGCATATCTCAAACCAAAAAACAAATAAACCCTAAGCAGAGCTGGTTAATGCTTGGCTGGAAAGTCCCCAGGAAATCCCAGGGCTTAAGTTCAAGAGCGATAATGGCATACTACTAGGTCCCTCTAAATTCACCTGGAATGAAGCTTGACCTAAGTTTGTATCTTTTCTCCTGGCTTCCACCCTAGGTATCTAGGGGGAACAGGCAGAGAAAGCCGAATATGTTCAGTCTAAAGAGGCAAGTTTACAGCCACCGTCGCTGTTTTCATGTCTCTTCTCCTTTTGTGCCAGAGGGGCAATCTTCTTTTCGTTCTTTAGCCCTGACTATTCCTTGGCAAGCTTCCTTCAACATTTTTACCTCTTGCTTGATCTACCGGCACAGCATTTCCTAGGTTCTCGATGCCAGCAGTATCTCTCACCCAGTCTGGTCTGGTTTTTAACGGCCATGTCAATCACAGTGCATGAACCGCTGTACTAGAGAGATCTCAGATTGTTAGTCATCACCTCATATGGTCATTTTTCAGCAAGTCTCCATCAATAACAAATTCCTTTGACCTTCCATGAGCTGTCCAATCTGTATGGGCAACAGAATACATTCATTTCTACATTAGCCTTGGCTAATTTTGACTTGCAAATGTGTGAGACTTCACATTTGAACTGAGAAGGCTGGGCATGTTTTAAAACCATCTTCCCATGACTAGCAGTTATGAGGGGTCATTTTCTTAGGATTTCACCCATAGAGACTGATCTATCCCATTTGCACATTAATTTGCATAGCAGCTAGTCACACCATTGGTGTTTAAATTACGTCTGCTTATTTAAATTACTTTTAGATGCATTTTTCACTCAAAATGTGTATTTGGCATTCTATTTTTATGCTTTTTTTTTTTAAAAAAAGCCAAGAACTATTGCCAGAGGACTTGCAAAATGAGAAAGTGGCAAACAGTTCTGATCTGAGGTGAGCTTGTATCAGAATTTGCAAAACCCTGTTCCTTGAGCATCCTTAGATGCAGCAACGTAGCCAGACGGCCCTCAAAGCTTTGTCTTTGATTAGTTGCTATAAGTCGCTACTGCAGCCTCTGCCATCATTCTACTGTGCATTTTTCTTCCAATACTAATTATGAATGTTGAGCTGTTATTACCATGGATCGAATTTCAATTTTATAATTGTAATGTGATTAAACTTCAATGGATGTTAGCGAAGAAGGCCTTCTCAGCATTGTGTGGTGTGTATTTTCTTCACCCCGTCCCTTAAGATAGCCTTCCCTAGCTTGGTGTCTTCAAGCTACGTTGGACTTCCATTGCCATCATTCTCAGTCAATAGAGTCAACATTCCTGTCAGCTAAGAAACAATGGAAGCTGTAGTTCTAAGTATCTGGAAGGGTCAGTTAAGACTGGCTGCGTTAATCTGGGCAGCAGAGAACAAGGTGTGAACATTAAATACTGTAACAGCTTTAACAGGAAAGGCCATATGAGAGTTTTCCGTTGACCTTAACATGACCGTAGCATTTATTTATTTTTAACAAGGTAAATTTGTCAGAGGTATGACATGACTGCGACAGTAACTGAACCTCTCCTTTCATCCCACCTAGTTGTCTCTGCTTTATTTCAGTGACTCTACAAAGAGTTTTCCTTCTCACCCACCCCCTCGCCCCCGGTTTTTAAATATTTCCACTCAAGAACGACCATAACAATCACTGTATGGCAGTGATTTGTGCTGTGGCTTATGGCTGAGAGAAAGCAGAGGGCCTGGGCCTGCGTGTAGTCCCTTAAAAGTTTACTTTAAATAAAGTAATAAACCTCTCCCTTTTCTTCCTCTCATTGTGGCCACTTCCTCTCTGTCAGGGTGTATTCAGCTTTTCTGGCGCACGGAACAATTGAAACTATTCTTCCACCCCAGAAGCATCCATGTCTGGGTGCCTTGATTTTCAGGACGCTGCTGGGTCGGCCGTTAGCGGTGGGCATGGGAACAGGAATGAAGCTGAGCAAGATCTCAGCCGGAAAACCTGGCCTTTCTTTCCAAAGCCTCATTCCCCTCAGTAGCTCATCCTGCAACAACAGCTTTGGCAAACAACATGCATTGGCACATTATAGCCCAAGGCAAGTCAATTAGCACCTTTGGGGATGAGCAAGGGAAGTTGGCAACAATAGACTCACATGCCCTCCGCCCACCTCGAGGCGGCTCTTGAAACTGTAGTGCTGTCGGGGCTCAAAAGGGCTTAGAAAGGCTGAGGTTGAAATTCCTAAATGTGCAGGTCGTTCTCCCTACTTCCCTTGGAAGAAAGTAGACCCATATGTATAATTGGATTTTTATTTTATTTTATTTTTTTAAAAAAGTTCTGAGTGCCTTTGAGTCAGTGTTGACTCCTGGTGACTGCTAGACTAGTCCCTGCAATTTTCTTGGAAATATTTTCGGAAGTGGTTTGCCATTGCCTTCTTCCTAGGGCTGTGAGAGAGTGACTGGCCCAGAATCACCCAGCTGGCCTCGTGCCTAAGATGGGACTAGAACTCATGCGATTAACTTTTCAATCTTCCTCCCTCCCTCTCGGAGAGAAAGACAGACAGACACAGAGATAGATAACACTCCTGGAGGACCTTAATTGCGTGATCATTTAACTTGCCTTCATTTTCCTTTCCTCCCTGAAACTGCTCAGGAATACCACACCCAACTTGGATTGGCTAGGGATCATCCTGTTCTTTGTGTGTGCCCTGATTGGGTGGGAACATCCATATGATTAATCCTATCTGAAGAAAGGAGAAAGTAATTCATAAAAGGATGGGATGTCTGCCAGGGAAACAATGGTGCAATAAAAAACGAAGGGAAAAAAAGTGAGGCAGACTATTCAGAGGAAGTGTCCACCTCACTAAAACAGCTAAATCTAGAAAATACTGAGTTCCTTCCTAATTTTAAAGCAGATCAAAAAGTGTATAGAAAAAAGTGTTCTGTGCTTGACCAATGAACTATTTTCAGAATATTATACTTCTTGAGACTAGCAGCTTATTCGTCATCTATTTTCAATCCGAAGTGCTAATTGGGTTCCCACCCACCCCAGATGATAATGCGATAAAGAGCTGCAGGCTTCAAGTATGATCAAATAGCTCTATTTTCAGAGACAGAACCAGGTGAGCAATCAATATTTGGGCTTCCAATTCCCATCAGCCCCAACCAGCATGCAGGTATCAGTTGCCTATCTTTGGATTAAGGGAACCATAGTTTCCATATAAGAATGTTGCGGTTCTATAAATGACTAATAATAATAATACTGATGGGGACCCTGCAGATGGTGTGAAGAGACAAGTGCTGCTGAACTCTCCACATCCAAAAGTAGAGTGATTTTAGGCTTTGTTACTCCGCTGCTCATTTGCCTGGTTGCCTGCTGAGATACTGTTATCTATTTAATGTTAATTTAATTTAAATTTCCTCCTCCTCCTCCTCCTCCTCCTCTTCCTCCTCCTCCTCCTCCT